CCCCCCCCAAATTGAACAGTAATTCTTGCCTCACAACAGTGAGAAATGAGAGGCCTTTCCCAGCCTGCAAACTACTCAGTACCCCACCTCACCCCTCACACCGGGATTGTGGAGCTCCAGCCTTCCTTAGCATCTCTCTGTGTGGGGCATCATCTGGCCCTCCAGCCATGAGCGGGAAGCCATCAGGGCAACTGTGAGGCCTAAGGTGACAAGCTGAGAAGCCTCTGCAATGTCAGAGTTGGGAAATTATCACCTCCTGTGATCTGGGAAAAGAGGCATCAGCCAGTAGCCAGGTGCCACCTGTGCCCTGAAAGGCCTGCCAAGGAGGGGTGGAGAATTGGACAAAGAGCAGCTGAGGCTAGGTCAGTTGTCTTGGACTGTCACGGAGACAGTGGCATAAGCTCACAAGCAAAGCTATAGCTAGGCCCATTCATCTTGAGGCCTGTGGTTCTGGCACCCATCCTAAGGGCCAGCAATCACACTTTCTCTCGTTGTGAAAGGAGAGAGAAGAGATGCAGCTACTTACCTTCCATCTGAAGACGGTAGAGCATGGAGCAGCTGTCCACCACATCTAGCATGGCACCACTGGCCTGCAGGCTGGGGAGGATCTGGAAGACAAGGGCTATGGGAGGGCAGGCTCAGAGGACCAAATAATGACGGATATGAGTACAGCCAGAGTTGCCATCTGAGCCACAAGTGTGACCTGCACAGAGAAAGCTCTCAGCAAACAAAAGCTATAAGCGCCCCACCACAGCCCCCACTAGGGGATTATGCAGCTAAAGGTGCCAGAATGTATCACACACACACACACACACACACACACACACACACACACACACACACGAGAGCACTGCACTGTTTGCCCAGGATTAGTGCTGGGACGTGTCAACTGCCACCCCCAGCCCTGTGCCTAAAGCTACTCTAGGAGACTCCTATCTTGCCTCACCTTGTTTCTAGATTCGACTTTGTTCACTAGGAGACCTGTCTAGACCTCAGAGCACACAGTGCGTGTCACCTCCATTTCTTTCTAAGAAGCTTGTTGTGACAGAAGGACTCATCCCAGGGACCCTTGTCTGCTAAGTGTTTCTCTGGTGTTCAGACTCCCACCTCATGAGCACCCTATGCCAAAATTTTATTATGAAGACCTCACTTGGGAGTTCTCCCATTCAAAGCATGCTCAAGGGGTGAGAATTTGAATTTGGGGGAGAGGGCAAGGTTCCAGAGGTGACAGATGGGATGGGGCCCAGTGAGGTCAATATGCTTACTGCAATATTATACAATTTATCATCATTATCATCATCATCACCACCACCACCATCATCATCAGTATTTTATGCATATGTATAGATGTTTACAAAGTGGAGTCAGAAATAGGTTGATAACCAGTAGTTTATTGGGGAAAAGTACTCACAAAATAGAGCCAGTGACTAGGTTTGCACCTGAGCAGGATGGACCCAGCAATGCTTCCCAGTCAGCTCAGCCAGGCGAAAGAGAGCCTCATTAAACCCTTGGTACGTAACTCTGACCACTCCCACTTGGTACCTGTGACCAGGCCCAAGCAGGTGTTGTCAGTGGTACCACTAATCAAGGTTTCTCCCTACACATATGAGTGTTTTGCCTGCATGTATGTCTGTGTACCACATGTGTGACTGATGCCCACACAGGTCAGAAGTAGGCATCTTGTTTCCTGAAACTGGAGTTTCAGATAGTTGTGAGCTACCATGTGCGTGCTGGGAACTGAACCTGGGTCCTCTGGAACAACAGTCGGCACTCTTAAACATTGGCCCATTTCTCTAGCCCCACAACTTTTTTTTCTTCCTTTTTTATGTAACACTGGGAGTTGAACCTAGGATCCTAAGCATGCTACACAAATGCTCTAACACTGATATCCCCAGGCCTTTTATAAAACTTTGATTCTGAGACAGTCTCACTAAGTTATCTAGGTTAGCCTTGAACTCACTTGGTAGCCCAGATATACCTTGAGCTTTCAATCCTCTTGCCCCAACCTCCTAAGAACCTAGGATTTCAGATCTGTAACACCATGGCTTGATTAATTTTTGTAGCATATATCTTAAAACAGTAAAAACAAACAGGAGTCTGGAAAGATGACTCAATGGTTAAGAGCACTGGTTGCTCTTCCAGAGGATCATGGTTCAATTCCCAGTGATCACATGTGTGGTGTTTTGAATAGGTATGGCTCCCATAGAATCATGAGTTTGAATGCTTGACCCATAGGGAGTGGAACTACTAGGAGGTGTGGCCTTGTTGGAGGAAGTTGTCAATGTGGGGATAGAAATCTCAGCTCCTTCTCCAGCACCATGTCTGCCTGCCATTATTCCCTCCATGATGACTTATAGGCTAAACCTCTGAACTGTATGCCAGCCCCAATTAGATGTTTTCCTTTATAAGAGTTGCCATGGTCATGGCGTCTCTTCACAGCAATAGAAATCCTAACATGGTAGCTTACAAACTATAACTCCAGTTTTAGGGGATCTGGCCCCCTCTTCTGACCTTTGCAAACACCAGGCATGTATGCAGTGCACATACATACATGGCAAAACACTGATGAAGCCAAGCCTAATTTGATTCCTGGAACTCACATAGTACAAGGAAAGAATTGATTCCTGCAAGTGTTCTCTGACTTTTGTATATATGTCATAGCATACATACACATACAAAATCAATGTGATTTTTTTAAATGAATAAATCTTTTTTGAATTTGCTTATTTTTATTACATATACAGTGTTCTGTTTGCATATTTGCCTGCACACCAGAAGAGGGCACCAGATCGCATGATAGACGGTTGTGAGCCACCATGTGGTTGCTGGGAATTGAACTCAGGATCTCTGGAAGAGCAGTCCAGTGCTCTTATCCTCTGAGCCATCTCTCCAACCCCCTAAATGTGATTTTTTTTTTTTTGAGACAGGGTCTTACTATGTAACTCTGGCTGTCCTAAAACTCACTATATAGACCAGGCTGGCCTCAAACTTAAAGAGATCTGTCTGCTTCTGCCTCCTGAGTGCTGGGATCAAGGAGTGTACTACTAGGCCTGGCTCTGATTTTTTTTTTAAAGTTAAAAATAAATAAACAAGTCTGGTGGTAGTGGCACACGCCTTTAATCCCAGTACTCAGAAGGCAGAGGCAGGAGATCTATGTGAGTTCAAGGCCAGCCTGATCTACAAAGAGACTTCTAGGACAGCCAGGGCTACACAAAGAAATTCTGTCTTGAAAACACACAAAAGAAAGAAAGAAAGAAAGAAAGAAAGAAAGAAAGAACGAAAGAAAGAAAGAAAGAACGAAAGAAAGAAAGAAAGAACGAAAGAAAGAAAGAAAGAAGGAAGGAAGGAAGGAAGGGAAAGGAAGGAAGGAAGAAAGAAAGAAAAAAAGAACAAAACCTCCCTAAGATACCCATCTGAAAGGACAGTGATAGTCAGAGACTACCTTAGCCATGTCAACCTCCAAACATCATGGGTGAACAGTAAGGAGTCAGAACATGGCTCTTGACAACAGTCAATTCCATGAAGTCTGGGGGCATCCTCCCACCATTTACTCTGGCTGGAACAATGCCAACAGGCCCAGAGGCTATGAGAGACAAAAGCTGACCGCAGCAACAAACCATAAACAATGTGAGCTGCACTTACATGGTTGTCATAGATGGTTAGTGCAGCCTCATATTCTCCCTGTAAAGGTGAAATTGCTGTGGTTAACATCTGGAGAAGTCAAAAGGAGATATACTAGAAACATCTGACCAAGGCCCCCACTAAGGGAGATGGGCAGGGCCCAGTGGCAGCCCAGCATGGAGAGAGGAGGTGACCTCAACCTTTGTGCCATGGGTCTTGCCTTACATGTAGTTTTATCTCTGGGCATCTTAGAAGCCTCCATGTCTTTCTCTATGGTAGCAGTGCTGCAAGAAGCACCCTGACAAATGGGTCACTGCCCATCCCCACCATCTGTCCCCACTCCTTGTCGTAGAATTATTTCTGGTGCTGAAAGTCCAATCTGAGACCCTCCTTGTATTCCAAGCAGTAAAGAGTCACTTGGTTCCAAACCATCTGTAGTGATGTGACAGTATCCACTGTGGGCTCAGATGTTTGAATATTTGGTCCCTAGTTGGTGGCACTGTTTGTGCAGGCTTAGGAGGTGTGGCCTTGCTGGAGGAAGTAGGGGTGGGGCTTTGAGAGCTTAAGGCCTCACTTTCTCTCAGTCCATGCTGCTTTGTGCCTGGAAAATGTTGAGCTCTCAGTGTCCAGTTCCTGCAGCCATGTTTGCAGCTAGCTGCCATGCTTCCCCGCCATGATGGAGGCTCTCATGCCTCTGGAGACAAATGAAGCCTTCCTTCTACAAGTTGCTTTGGTTACAGTGTTTTATCACAGCAATAGGAAAGTAACTAATAAACTACTCGAGTCCCACTTCCCAAAAGTGAGAAAAACATCTCTGAGGAACACAACATGCAAGGCTCTTGGAATGTGAATGCTATATTGCTTCAGACACTACCTGTGCTGGACAGTTTTATGTCACCTTGACACAAACTAGAGTCATCTGAGAGGAGGGAACCTCAAATAAGAAAATGCCTTAATTGTAGACAAGCCTGTAGGGCATTTTCTTAATTAGTGATTGATGGGAGAGGGCCCAGCTCTCTGTGTGGAGACACCCCTGAGCTGGTGGTCCTAGGTTCTCTAAGGAAGCAGACTGAGCAAGCCATGCTGAGCAAGCCAGTAAGCAGCATCCTTCCTTGGCTTCTGCATCAGCTCCTGCCTCCAGGTTCCTTCCTGCCCATTTGAGTTCCTGCTCTGGCTTCCTTCAGTGATAAACAACAATGTGGAAATGTAAGCCACATAAATCTGTTCCTCCCCAACTTGCTTTTGGTCATGGTTGTTTCATTACAGCAGTAGAAACCCTAAGACACTATCTTTTGTACCAACACACAAAGGTGCAGCATGGAAGTCAGACACATAGCATGGACATAGCATGGGCTCTTCTCTGGACATCTGCCCTGGGTGAGATAAGCCAAAGAGACAAACATCCTACCTTTTCGATCAAGTACAGGGCCCAGTGCCAATAATTATGGCAAGCAAGCATATCAGAGTCCTGCAGAAAGAATGAGAGAAAGCCTGAGCTCTGTTGGCTGGGCCTAAGAGTTCAGTTGGTATCATGTATGAACCCCAACATTGAATAAACTAGGTATGGTGGGCCACACCTGTGATTGCAGCACACACACTGTGATCCCAGAGGGAAAAAACAGAAGATCAGAAGTTCGAGTTTGGGCTGGGGAGATGCTCATTTGGTACAATGTTTGCTGTGTAAGCCTTGAAGAGCTGAGTTTAAATCCCACACCTATGTAAAAGCTGGACATGGAGGTGTGTGCCTGTAATCCCAGGGGGAGCCTGGAGGTTTTCTAGCCAGTCAGTCTTGCCTAATCCATAAGCTCCAGGTGCTAGGGAAGCAACTCTGCTCAAAAAAACAAGATAGATGGCAACTGAGAAATGACAATGTGGCTTCCACAAGCACACATATGCATGCGCACTTACACCAACATACATGTTCGAACACATAGGTATACATACACAAGTGGGGTTGGGGGAGTGTGTGTGTTCTAGGGGAGGAATATGGAGGAAAGGAGCCAGGCCAACTGGTGGACAGGGCCAACTAGTACTCGACACCCTACCCACAAAACCTTGCAGTATCTGCCTGGGGAACCCCAGGAAAAAGTAGCCTCTCTTGCTTTAGGTTCCGGGTGGACCCTGGAATTTTCCAGACCCTGGGCATCTTTAGAATGGGCTGCATGTTCAGAAACCTCCCAGTAAGCCAGTTGCACCTAGAACCATGCCTGGAGATGCTGGGAATTGGCTTGGCTGTCAAACACAGTCCTAGCCTAGGGAATTGCTCAAGAGGGATGCTGGTGGTCACTGCATCCGGCCTGGTCTCTGAGGCACTGTGTATCTATTACTCAGTGGCAGGCTCTGGGAAGGACTTACTTCCCTAGCTGGTGGTACCCTTGGAGCCTGCTGTGGCACAGAAGGACAAGGCAGCAAGGACACCTGGATAGGTGGCCAGGTCATGTGCCAGAGGCAAGTCCAGTGAAAACAGGCACACATGGAGGAAGAAGGGCCACCACAGCTAGTGGGCAAGGAGGACATGGCCCCAGAGGGGGCACCAACCAGTCAGGAGCAAGGAAGAGTAAAATTGGGAATATGGAATAGGGACAATGAGGCCACAGAGTGTTCAGGCCATGGGAAGGGTCAGGCTAAGCACGAGGGGTCTGAATCACCCTAATCCCCATGTGCTAGCCCTACATCAGTGGACCATCACCCCATCAGCCTGCCTGTCTTCCACCTACTGCATCATGTGGTCCAGAGAAACACTCCACCATCCCATGTGGAGCCTGCTGGGAGCAACAGAAGCACATGCAACTCAGGGCCCTAAACATACCCACTCTTGCCAGGCTCTTATTGCCCTAGTACCCTTTGGGTCCATTCTTTCATAGCAAAATCCTCTCGCAGACCCCAATTGTACACTTGTAAAATGCTGGCAGATGTTGGAGTGTTGTGGAGCTCCCAGAGTATGCTTGGCTGTCAAGGATGCCTCTAAGCTGATCCTAAGCTCCCGGGGAACTAAGCCACATCTGTAAGTCCCACCCAACAAGTCTTGGTGGAATTCCATGTATCGGACTGGATCGTCCAGCAGATGAACACTACCAAGACTCAACTCATACCTTCCAGTGGCCTTCGGTGTGCTGCATGAACTCCAGCCCATCTTTGACCTCTGCTCTCATCTCATGTATATGGGCAATAGTGTGCACTGACCACGCATCTGTCGGTTCAATAGATAAAGCCTGCATGAGGTAGGCGATGGGAGGACAAAGAAAATGGAGGTTAGCCTGGCTGCCTGGGCCCAATAAGAGCAACGATGGGACTGGGCTCTAACTCAGAATAATTGCAATCCCAACACCAGCCCCATTTCCTATGTGCCTGGGGGGAGGTACCAATGTGTGCCTTACCCACCACAGCAGGTTGCTGAGGAGGGCATCATTGATGGCCTCACAGATGAGGAAACTGGAGCTCAAGGAGGTCAGGACTTGCTCCTGGGTACACCCCAGTCATCTTCAATATACTACCCAGGAGCTCTATGCCTCAGTTTCCCATGGTGGCTTCTAGGGCTGCCTTCCTTTCTGGGCTATGAGAACAGTGTTGACCTTGACATCCTTTTGTGGTGAATGACAAGAGGTTGTCCCTCCCACTTATACTCAGGAGGTGGACACAGGTGGCTTCCTGAGTTAGAAGCAACTGGTTCTAGCGACACTGTTGCTAATGACAACATCTACATGAACCCTGAGCTCCACGATGAGACAGAGGGACGCATGAACTGACTCTTACTTCTTTGTCCATCTATTAACCAGATCAGTTCATGTTTATGGAGCACCTCCTAGGGCTGGGCATGAAGCAGTGAACCGGGGGTCACTGCAACCCCATCACTGGCTTGTACTTAAAGCCCCACACCACATCATGGGTCCCCAGGCCTGCTTTCTCTGGTGTGTAGAATTGCGAGTGCTTCTGCACTGGCCTGGCACCTGCAGCAAGGAATTTGGCAACATGTCCCCAGCAGTCTCTGGTCCCTGCTTCTGTCCCTCAGGTTTCACAGTCTTGTCCACTCCATGTGGGAAGACAGGGGTCACACAGCATGTTTGGAAGGCCTTGGGGCAGGGAGCCTGAGCACTAGGACAGCTGGGGACATGGCAGGGTACATCCTGAGCATGGGTGAGCATCCCTCTAAGGAACACCTCTAAGCATCTGCTTTCGCACAGGGTAGTTGAGAACTAGGACTCAGCCTTGTTCTTTTGGACCAGCATCCTCTCTCAACTAGAGCCCTTGCATGGCTCCCTGGGATACTCCAACTCTCTGCCTACCCCTCATGACTGGGGTTGACCTGCTGGGCTTGCTGTCACCTTGTGAGGTCACTGTAGTTCAGGGGAGCCTGGTGCTGTCCACCCTTGCCTTGTAGAAACCTGGGGGACACAGCTATAGTCTCGTTTTCATATCTAGCAACTGTTTGTGGGGGTGGAGCAAAGGTCAGTGTGGCCTATAGCTGGAACAAAGGGCAGGAAAGAGCAATGGGTAGGAGTGCTATTCTGCCACAGCTTGTTTCTTGGAAGACTTGAGTCTGCATCCTCGGCCATCTTTCTTTGGAATCAGCTTGTCACAGTGCCACTCAGAGCTCCTTCAACTGTTCTGCTGTCCAGATGCCTAGGTGGTTCCCCCAACCAACGAGGCCTTCCTGTGGCTTGGCCACAGATGGGGTATCTGGCTATCCTGATCATAGAGCTTAGATGGCCAAGAAGCTACCTGGAGCCCTCAGGGCTGACTCGGAGCTAAAAAAAAAAAAAAAAAACCCAAAACCCCAAACCAAAACCAAACAAAAACCTTCACCTGATCCCTGAATCTGGATTTCGTCTGATTCAGGCAATCATCAGACACCCTGAGGATGCTGTCCTGAGGAGGGCATATTTCAGGCCAGCTGAGGCAATGCCTGGTTTGGGAACCATAGCAGGGATGTTGGGAAAGCTAAGATTTAGTCCAGGCTGTTTAAGACGGCCATCTTGTCAGCTGGCCTAGGTAACAATCTGACCCCTGAGCTTTACCAATATGGGAGGCTCTGCCTAGCCTCTCTCTGAGCTGCAGCTCTCTTGCCTGGGCACCAAGATGTTTAACAGTGTGGGCAGAGACCATTGGCAGGAGCAGGAGTGCACAAGTGCCAGTTGTGAACCTGGACCAAGAGCATACGTCACCCTCTTTGCATGGCAATACCTCCTTGCACCTTAGTTTCTATTCTTGCAAGCACGAGAGTGGCAGACAAGGACTCCCAGAGCCTGAGCTATCTCGCATCCAGGGCTGTCACTTGACCCTGGCTTCAGGCCCACAGGGGAGTTCCCAGAACTCCAGATCAGCCAGCACATCCCAGCAGAATACTGAACACAGGGCCTGAGGCTGAAACATCTAGCAGGATCCACACTGACTCCACCCCTCCCACTGGTAAGCATCCAGAGTGATAAGTGATAGCTAAGAGACAAGCCTGTGGGTATGACAAAGACACCCCACACACACTCAGGGAGAAAGAACATAACAAGATCAGGCCCTGACCTTTGAAATCTCCACCCACTTCAAGCCTCGTGGGGCATGGCTAGATCCAGTGGAAAGGTAAAACTCAAAGAGGAAGAACAAATGTTTATATGGCTCTCCTATAGCAATTGGCCCTCTAGAGCCAACTGGGATTCACAGAAGCACAGAGCCACCACTCTGGTAACTTCTGAGTATAAGAGCCACCACCTCCTCCCTGAGTCTCACTGCCTCATCTGTTCCAGGGACCTTGGGAGGCTTAGAGGAGTGATGGACAGGTAGCTGCTTGCCCTATCAATAGCCCCTCCCAAGAGGACATTCCAAAGTGGGGAGGGGGTTGCTTGGTCCTCAAATGAGGGGCCATACCCTGCAGGGCTTCACAGCTTGAGAAGAGCCCACTCACCTCTTTGGCAAGCTTTTGTGCCTGGTCATAGAAGTTGGTTTCCATCAGTCCGAAAGAGTAGATGCCTTTCACATAGCTGAAAAACAGAGAAAAGACTTCGTAACCAGGAAACCATAGGAGCAAGTGGGATGGAGTCCCCCAGCAGGATTGGCTGGAGTACACACACCCAGGGCTTGTATGTGACTGTTTGGACACAGGGACTTCACAGATGGGACCGAGATAAGATACAGTGAGTGGCAATCTGATCACTGTTGTCCACTTTGTAAGAAGGCCGTGCAGAGCTGGTGTCAAGCAAAAAAGATTTGCTGACACCCTGATTCCGCTCAGGCCTTAGGCAAGAGTCAGCAATGAAAGTCTGACTCATGCCCCCAACCCAGAGAGGAGCTGAGCTCAGCAGTTTTCTTTTTTAACTTCCTTTAGTTCAAATATCTACTTTCTCAGACATCAATACAGGGTCTCTCCACGGAGGATGACACAGTCTATACGCACCTTCCTGGGAAGTCTGGCACTATGGGTAGCATCTCTCAGGCTTCTGTGCACCATCCTTCACCCAGCCTGGGAATACCCACTGACCAGCCCACAGAATTGATTCCATGGCCCTGTTTGTCTAGCTCACCCTCCAATCTGGCCCACATACTCTGAATGACCACATACTTGCATTTCTCAACAGTATCCCAGGCACTGAGCCCCCAAGACTGAGCCACCTGTGACCAAGGGGCTCTATACTGTGTGAGCAAAGACAGAAGCTGCTGTCTAGGACTCGGGTATCACTTCTACTGTCACACAAGGGCAAATGGCAGCTTTTACTGGAGATCAGTGACTTGCAGGTGACTTTTAAAAATATCTACCACTCGGAAAGCAGAGGCAAGCTGATCTCTATGATTTTGAGGCCAGCCTGTCTTCAGAACTTGTTCCAAGTCAGCCAGGCAGGGCTACACAGAGAGACCCTGTTTCAAAAAATGAACAAACAAACAGATTGATCAAGAGCTTATGGAAGGTCAGGTACTATTAGCTTGTGAGTTGTTTAATCATCAGTTTGGCTGAACCATGGTACCTGGATCTGTGGTCAGGCACCATTCTAAGGGGTTACCACAAAGATATTTATATCAGATGTGTACTGTGGAATTATCCTTCTGTACACTGTGAATATGTATTACTATCATTGGTTAATAAAGAAGCTGATTGGCCTGAAGCATGGCAGGATAAAGTTAGGCTGAACAACTAAACTGAGGATACTGGGATGAAGAAGGGCAGAGTCAGAGGAAATGCCAGCCAGCCGCCGAGGAAGCAGAATGTATAGAAAATGAGGTAACAAACCACGAGCCACATGGCAAAGCACAGATAAGAAATATGGGTTAATTTAAGTGTAAGAGTTATCTAGTAACAAGCCTGAGCTATTGACCAAGCATTTATAAGTAATATTAAGCCTCTGTGTCAGTTATTTAGAAGCAGGCAGCCAGGACAGGAAAACTTCACCTACAGATGTACTTTTAAAATCAGAAGATTTAGAGACAAACAAAATTCTCAATAATATGAGGGTAGCTCTCATCCAACCAGGTGATGATTATAGAGAAAAAAATCCCAGAAAGAAAAAGGCACTCTTTATATATGAAGAGGAAGTTGACTTTTGTGGGAATTTCTAGCCTGTCACCCTGCCCTACAGGTTCTGAATTTTCCAGATGCTACCTAAGCTGCTCCCTGGAGAATACTCCTTTTCCTGGTAGCAACTGGTGTATCCACAGGTCATTGCTCTAACCATCTTGAAAATAGAAAAGGATGTGGTCACAGAACCCTTGGCCTTGTACAGATGAACAAGGAACAGCTAGGCTGTTCATTGTGTAGTGGCTCATTACCTGTAATCCCAATACCCAAGAGGATGAGGCAAAAGACTGCCATGAATTTAAGGCCAACCTGGGTTACAGAATCAGATCCTATCATAAAAAATTAAAACTAATGACAGACATGAAGTATGGGCATTAAGCTTTGCAGAATATAATCTTGGGGATGCTTGTTACTACAACAAAAAAATCCTATCTGACTGATACACAGCGGTGCCATCTCATTCACAAGATGGGATGAAGAAAAAGAAGTCTTTGAGATTAGCATCAGGAGTCTCGTTATCTTTAGGTTGGGGCCAATAGAGTTTCTATGCCTTTAGGACAGAGGAGAGAAACTGAAGAATGAGGTGATGTGGCTTCTTGCTGGCATGTACCTGTTAAGGGGGATGTCAGGTGTCCAAAAGGGGTAAATTCGAGCCACAGAATCCCGCATCTGCTCCTGGAAGCCCAGGTAGAAGTAGGCATCATGGGAAAACTTCAGGGCCAACATGTCTGTGGGGTGGTCCCGGAGGATCTGTTCCCAGAGATCACAGGCTTTTGGGAAGTTTCTGCAAGCCAAGAACACACTGAGCATGAAGTCCACATCCACATGAAGTGGAAAGCCATCCTATGTCATTATCTGCCTGAGATGCTTTAAGCAATTATGTCTGGAGCTGGGGAGATAGCACAGTGGGTAAGAGTGCTTGCTGCACAGCATGAGGACCTGAGTTCAAATCCCCAGCAGCAGAGTAAAATTCAGGCATGGCCATGCTCCTGTAATCCCAGTGGTGGAGAAAGGAGGGTTTCTGGGGCTTGCTGACCACCAATCTGTTGGAAAGACCGTGAGCTCTAGATTCAGTGAGAGACCTTGTCTTAAGGGAATAAGATGGGGAACAATAGGATGGGACACTTGACATCCTTGTCTGGCCTCTGAGCACAAGGGCACATGCATACCTTACCAACACAGACGTGGGCACACACTACAACACACCCCTGCATACAAAAATAAATTATATAGATATATAATATGCATGTGTGTCATGCATGGATCGCGAAACTAAAAAGGAGTGCAATCTGAAGGGAGGAGGAAATAGAAAAGGCAATGGACTATGTGTGACATGAAAGCAGAGGGGCATTCTTGGGGGAGGAAGAAAATAAGCCAGAGTGGGGCTGGGGTGTGAGGACAGATAGTTGGGGTGGTGGTGAAGGAAAACAAGGTCTGGTAACACCCATTGCTTTATATACTAATAGTAATTCATAAAAAGAGAAACTGTTTCTAACTGAGAAAAAGAAATTCCATTGAGAGCTAGGGGGATGTAGTTGGAGCTTGCTTAGCAGGCAGGGTTCTGGAGTCCATACCCAACACTGCACAGTTTAAAAAATGTTATAGACATACATATGTACTCATTTTCAATGTTAGGTTATACCTCATAAAATTCAAAAACCTGTGGGAAATTTTACCTTCTCATTCAACTTCAAGAAGAAAACCAGGGGACCTGGAGATGGCTTAGTGGTTAGCAGCACTTGCTGCTTTTACAGAGGTCCCAGATTCAGTTCCCAGCACCCCCAGTACAGCTTAAAACCATCTATAATGCCAATGGCAGGAGTTCTGGTGCCTTCTCCAGTTCTCCTTAGACACCAGGCACATGCGATACACAGACATACATATAAGGAAAACACTCAAGATACATAATATAAATAAATCTTTAAAAGAAGAGAAAAACAGGTTTGCTTGGTGTGTGTGTGTGTGTGTTTGTGTGTGTGTGTGTGTACACACACACATGTGGAGGCCAGAGGACAACATCAGGTGTCCCCATCAATTGATCTCCCCCTAACTTCCATAGTCACTCATTGAACCTGGACCTTACCAATTCAGCCAGACGGGTGGGACAATGAGCGCCAGGGATCTGCCTGTCTACCTCCCCTTGGCTTTTTGCCTGGGTGCTGGGCATCTGGACTCAGATCCCTAAACCTGTGTAGCATGCATCCTATTAGCTGAGCCTTCTCTTCAGGGCAGCTTACCTGTCTGAGCAGACAGAGGGACTACCCTGGAGAACTGTGGGAAAGGAGGCAGGGAACCATCTGGAAGGTAGAGAGCTGATGCACACAGTGTTGGAATCCTGAACATACCCTAAAGACCTGTATGTTGAAGGCTGAGTGTCTCAGCCTGAGGTACTGTTGGGGAGTGGGGCAACCTTCCAGAGTTTGGGTCTGGTGGTATTCTATTAGGTCACTGGAAGCATACCAGTGCGGGGAACATTAGGACCTTGGTCCCATCTTGACTTTCCTGACTGCTATGAGGTGAGCAGCCTCCTCTACTACCTATTACTACCATGAAGCACAAACAATAGAGTAAGTGCCCAAGGACTGAAGCCTCTGACACCATATGCCAAAATAAGTATTTCTTCCTTATAAATAAATGTATTGTCTCAGGCATTTACAACAGAAAGCTGTCAAATACAGACTTCAGGGCAAGAAACAAAAAGGTCAATTGTTTCCTTCTCTCCTAGATGCTGTGATTAAAATAATAACCATGTGAATGAACCATAGCTATTCTGAACCCTAAACCAGAAACCCTCACTAAATACTTCATTCAGCATTCAATTTGGGGTATAGCAGGCCGGTGAGACTATTAACCTCTGAGGCATCACCTTGCACAAGCTTAGAGTCCCAACCCCCAGCCCAGGGAGGCCCCTCACCCCTTGGCAAACATCTCCACTGCAGACACATGCAGCTGCTCCCGAGGTGTCAGAGTCTGGGTTTGGGAAACTTCCATCATCGTCTTCACAGCCAGGTCCAGGTCTTTGTCCAACTTCACAGAGCTTCCCGTGCCAATGAGCACAAGGCCATTAGAGATGGCATGACCCATGGCTGAAAGAAGATTGGAAAACAGCTGGTCACTCAGCCTAGCCCATCTCCACATTCCCAAGGTCTGAGCCACACTGGGTACAGGTTCACTGTGTGTGAGGCCCTTTTCAAAACCTGGATCTCAGCCAGGCGGTGGTGGTACACACCTTTAGTCCCAGCATTCCAGAGGCAGAGGCAGGTAGATCTCTGTGAGTCCCAGGCCAGCCTGGTCTACAGAGTGAGTTCCAAGACAGCCAAGGCTACACAGAGAAATCCTGTCTCAAAAAACAACAAAACAACACCCCCCCATCTCAGCTTTGACTTTCAGCAGGCAGAGGATGAAGCAGCACCTTCTAAGTAACTGAGGTTATTTTTTTAACTGTGCTTTCTGTTGAACCCCGAGGTCTGAAGTACTTCCCTCTGCATTGGCTTGTATTATTGCTAAAACCAGCCCAGACCTCCTGGGATGCTCAGTGGATGCCATACAGGGAGCTGAATCAAAGCCCTGGAGCACAGACTGCATTTCCATTTCACTGTCCTCACACATGATGGTGAGGATGGTGGTCCTTAGTGAAGGCAAGGTCCCATGCCCTACCCATGCTTCCCAGCCTCATCTCCAGAAAAGAAAGGTGTTCCCTGATTTTCAGAACTCAATCACTGCCACTGGCCTAGAAAAAAAGAACCATGGTACTAGGATACCCCCTAGCCCAGCTAGTGGACCCTGCTTACAGAGTAAGTCCACTCTGACCACTAGCTGTCCCTGTGGCTGCATTTGGCTTGCCCTGCTTTTCTCTTGTCTCTACTCATCCTGTCCTTGCCAGGTTAATAGGACCCTTGGCTTTAGCTAGGCTAGGCTGCTGCATGTGTTAAGAATGTCCCTAACATCCATCTTCATCTTAGAAGTCTTCTCAAATGCCAGGAACCTCACCCCATCCTCGGACCACCCATCTTGGATTCTGAAATGTATTGGACTAACCTCCCCCAGCTCGCTACACACAAAGCCTGCCCATGAACTAGGTTTAGTCCTCTATCCCCATCCAGCACTAGAGATGTCCTGAGTCCTGAGACCCCTGACAAAAGTTTCAGAAGCCATCCCTTGTGTGCTAGGATTCTGGACTTTAGAGCCAGCAAGACTCAGGTATGTGTCTCACTTTCACTGAGCTCTGGTTTCCTCATCTAAGAAGCTGATGCCTTCATCAAACTGATGATAGTTAGAGAAAAGATCTAGAGCCTTCTAAAGAAATGGCATCCTCATGGGAGCAACTGTTGTTCCGAACACAAAAGTAGTTGTCGGGGCTGGAGAGATGGCTCAGAGGTCAAGAGCACTTACTGCTCTTCCAGAGGTCCTGAGTTCAATTCCCAGCAACCACATGGTGGCTCACAACCATCCGTTATGAGATCTGGTGCCCTCTTCTGGTGTGCAGCTATACATGGAAGCAGAATGTTATATACATAATAAATAAAATCTTAAAAAAAAGTAGCTGTCATCATCCCCCCCTCTGTGCAAGTATCAACTCAGTTACTGTCCCCAATATGTCCCATACCCTCACCCCTCCCCTCACCAAGTGAGTCCCAGTGTCAGGGCGTGTGAACAGTATTCCTTTACCTAGGGAGAAACTCACCAAAGGTTGGATCTGCTGCCTTGAGCTTTGACAGGCAGCCCTCGATGCCACCAAGACTCTTGTCGTTGGTCCACTTGACATACTGGAATGAGAAATGCAAAACTAGTTTGAACTAAGTGGAGCCCTTAGATCGTATCGTTGAAAGCATGTATCTAAACTTGAATTCTTTTGGGGGGGAGTCGGGGTTCTGGAGTTCATGGTAGGATCCTTCACTTGTGTGGAAGTTACCTGGGAATGAATAAAGGTCTTAGTCCAGCTAACGTGAGATGAGCCTCAGGACAGGACCCCATGCCTACATGGCAGAGCTTACCACAAACCTTCAGCAGACCACAGTGGGACGCTGAGAAGGCTCAGCATAATTCATTGCTGTCCACTCTTGAACTGGGGACCTTGGGAATAGGGCTAGTGGGGCTGGCAGAGACACTTCCCATGTTGTTGGACCTCTGTGGCCAAGTGCATATTTTTACTGCAATGGGATTGACAGACTTATTCACCAATTGAAAGCCCTCCTCAGAATCCTTTAAGGAGGACACAAGTCTCCTGGCAGGCATACCTGGGTCAAGGTGGCATCAAACACCTTGCAGGCTTCATTGCTTGTGGTTGAGAGTGGGAGCCCAGCATCCTTCCACGCCTACACAACAGGGAAGGAACACCAGAATTTACTGAGCTGAGCCTCCAAACCCTTGGTTAACCCCCTGAAGAACATCTAAGAGCGCCCAGTGAGTAAATGGGAGACAGTAAATGGGAGTCTCATTAGCAGGAGCGATGGGAAGCCTGGCCCTGGGTGTATATCTGGAAGGATGTCTGGCTTGTAACCTGCCTAGCAAGGTGTGTACTCCCTGCCAACACTGTGTGGGAGGAGTTGGACCAGTTGGAAATCCTTCAGATTATAATAGCTGCCCTCAGGGTGCACAATGCCAGTGTCCCTCTAGGGCATGGAACATGACCTTTAGTCCTGGCCAGCAAAGATCTGCACCTCCCAGACTTGGAAGTTAGGAGGTTGTGCTGCTCCTACTTTCATCTTCCTTGTCTGAAAAATGGGCTCAAGGTCCTGGCCCTGGATGGCTTCATACGAAAAGCTTCCTGGAGTCAAGCCCAGTGCAAGAGCTTTCGCTGGTGCCCCCTGACTGGGAACCACTAGGTAGTCCCCTCCACCCTCAGCAGCAAAGGCACAGAGCGGGAGGTCCCCTGCCTGACTCGGGTGACCTGCAGGTTTGCTCCTGACTGCTCAGCCTTGGGCCAACTCCCGAACCCAGGAGGACCCAGCTGAGGGGGTGTGCGTACCTGGCAGTCTCGCAGTGACATGGTTATGGTTTTGGTCAGCAGAGCGAGGGCCACCAGGTTAAGGCTCTTGGAAGTCCCCGAAGCCTTCCGGGGAAGTGAGGGTGTAGTTGACTGCGGAAGGGGGCGGGGCGAGGGCGGCAGAGCTCCACGATCGCTCACTGGTGGCTTTGGACACACGTGTCCAGCTCAGGGACCAGACCGGCCCGCCCCTGAAACCCGGGGTGGGTGTGGGAGATGTGGGTGTGGGTATGGGTAGTGAAGGGGGAGGAGGTGGCGGAATGGGAGGGCACACCTGGGCACCCTAGCCGTATTCCCCAGCTAGGGTGCTCTTAACTAGCCTAGTGGCTCCAGCTCCTGCTACCAAACTCCACCCCGCTAGAGGTGCCCAGCTTAGGTTTGAGAGTCAGTGTCCTCCTTGTCCTCTGATTATGTGGGTGCCCGCGGTCCAGCCTCTCCCAGCCTGAGCCTCCTTCACTAGGTCAGAGGCCGTCTGGAGGCTTGGAAGACTTGGGAGCCTTGGGCCAGTGCTTGGAGACTCATGCATCTGTACTACTGAGCTACATTCCCTCCTCCCCTTTTTTTTTTTCCAGTTTTGAGTTAGTTTTAGTGAGTTAGTCTCACTAAATTGCCCAAGCTGGTCTTAGATTAGCTTTGTAGTTTAGGTGGGCTTTGAACTTGGGATCCTCTTGCCTAGAATTATTACATTACTTGTCTATAATATCTGACAGCAATACAGATCTGTCACAACAGGCCTAGCTGTCACTTGCAAGTTCTAGGTAGCCCTCCTCCACCTGCCAGCCTCGGGCACTCACAACTCAGTTTTTAGAGAATTCCTCACTGACAAGCTTCACCCATGAACTCCACTGATGCCTTGGGACAGTACCCCTCCCTTCTCCTGGGCTTGGAGGATAACACAGTTCCCCTTGCTCCCTATAGAAGTTTCTACCCAGTGTGTGGGAGTCAGGTGAGCAGGGAGGGTGCAGAGACAGATCCTGTCTTTGTTTAAAATGTTGGTATTTTGACAATAGTCTCACCATGTAGATCAGGCTGGCCTTGAACTCACAGAGATCCACTTGCCTCTGCATCCAGAGTGCTGGGATTAAAGTTGTGTGCCTTCCCAGCTGGCATTGATACCATCCTAACAGCAAACATGGTTGGAGGTAACTCTAATGTCTTTGGATTTGACAGTGAACTACTAGACACAGCACTGAAACATCTACCACTAACAAAATGGATCAGTTGAACTTTACTAAATTAGCATATTTTGTGAACCAAAGGACACTTGTGAGAGCCAAAGTTACATTTTAAGTTTTAATTGCTACGCCTTAGAGATCCATGAAACAAAAATGTCTCTGATCTGCAAGCCCCTGCCCAAGGACAGATAGTTCCTGAAATACTGGAGGCTTTTGTTTATGGATGATAACAAGCCACACATTTTCATTCCCCTAAGTAGATTTGTTTGACCCATCTGCTAAGGTTGTGCTTGATCACATGTGGGCAGGATGTTCACAAGCAGAAAATATGTCAGGATGTACGATTGCCCCTGATTGGATATAGGCTCCAGTACTTCAGGATGTATGCTTGCCTCTGATTGGATCTGATGGGAAATGCAATGAATTTGGGTTTTCCTTCTTAAGCTGATGCAAAACATGACTCAGGACCATTTCCCAGGAACGTGGGTACGGACTTGGCCAGAGCCCATCCACCTGGTCAGTATTTCATTAAAGTTTGCTTCAAATTTGGCTTTAAACTGTGGTAGTGGTCTTACTCTCAATTGGTGGAATTAATACACTATCCAAAAAAAAGGGAATATAGGATAGGAGAAGATACTTGCAAATCATATATTAGATAATATCCAGAATCTATAAAGAAATCTTGGGACTGGAGAGACTGCTCAATAGTTAACAGCACTTGCTGTTCTTGCAGAGGACCCAGGTTTGGTTCCCAGCTCCCACACCAAGTGCTCAAAACTATTTGTAACTCTAACCTGGAGCTCTGATATTGTTTGGCCTCTGTGGGCACCTGCATGCATATGGTGCATGCATAAATTTATTCAGGTACATACACATATGCATAAATAATAATATTTTTAAAACTCTTACAACTAAACAGGAAAATGTTAAATGGTCAAATTAGAAACTGGCAAAGGAAGAAAAAGAAAAGAAACCAAGCAGAGGATTTGAATGAATATCTCCCCAAAGAAGACACACACTTGGCTACTGGAGAGGTTGGAAGGTTCATAGTGCTGTAGCTAAGTGAAAGAAGTCAAGCACAGATCATTATCATCATCACCACCATCATCACCATCATCATCATCATCATCATAATCAGGTATATGTTAAATGTCCATAATAGCAGATTGGTAGAAACAGAAGGCAGACTGCTAGAGGCCAGTGCAGGGGAGGATATGAGACCACTGCCAGTGGTGGTGGGGTTTTCTTTGGGGGTGACAAACTATTTGGCTGCAAAACCTTAATGTGTACTCAATACCACCTAGCTTTACCCTTATGAATAGGTGATATCATATGATTATCACTTCAATAAAGATACTGTCTTGATGAATGAGGTTTTGTGCCACATTCTCCTTGAATCTTGCACCCGAGTTGGGTTTCCTGCTCCTGCCTCATTCTCCACAGGCTGGTGTCAACCAGTACATCACTTTAGAGAATCTGGAGACTGCTGGCCTCCAGTAAAGCTGAAGTGTCCCAGAACCCAAATCACCAATATTCCATTCCTGCACAACCAGAAGGCCCCCAAATATGATGAACAACCAAACCAATGGGGTGAAGGAGGAGGCTCAGTGGGTAGGGTGCTTGCTGTCAAGCCAGATAAACTGAATATAATTCTTAGAATTCAACTCTGGCAAGCTGTCCTCTGACCTCCACATGGGTGTGTATGTGCCTGCCCCCCTCACCAAACAAACAAAGAAGCACATATATGTTAAAAGGGGGGGTATTGTTTTTAACTAAATCTCAATCGTTTAATAACCCAGTAAAAACTTGGAAGCCAGATGCTGGGGTGAAAGCCTGCTAGCTCAGAGAGGCAGAGAAAGCACCCAGCTGACTTTCTTCCTCAGTTGATGTGTCGTTCCCTGACCCCCCCAAAAAAACTCCCTCTGCCATCTCAAACAAAAGACCTCAAACTGAATGTCCTCCCTTCTACTTCCTGTATGTCTCTGTCCTCCTGACTCCCTCTTACTCTCTAAGGTATTTTTTTCTTGTTCACTTCCTGTCAACTTGTTGCTTGCTCCACTCTGGACCTATGGTTGACTTTATTTAATCCTGTTTACACTAAGCAGAAAGCTCTTGGATTAAAGGTGTGTGCTAGTGTTGAGTCACACCACAACTAGAAACAGGTTTTTCCAGTAAATAATGCAATCTCAGGTTTACAGTGTATTCAAATACCCTGCAACATAAGAGCATGAAGGAGGCCTCTACAGAGGCCAATTAGGGCCTGGGTCTCCTTGCTTGCTTCAGGCACAGAGGCTGAAGAGGCAGCAGAGGGTGTCTTTGAGGACACTGGAGATGCCAGCATGCTGTGGTTTCTCCCACTGAATAGCAGGAACTTCCTGAAGCCCTTTGGCCTGTACCTGTGGGCCTACAAGCTGGTATTGGATGCAGCAGCAGCTCTAAGACATGAGCAGGAGCAGGGCTGTGGTGGGAAGGGCACTCTCCAAGTAGGGCCTAGTATAAAGAGTATTCATGTTTACCCTAGCCTTGATATAGCCTTAAGCATGAGGGTAGGCTGGGCAAAACTCTGCAAACCCAGGGCTAAAGAATGTCTAGGGAAGTCCTGGTTAATTGAGGGATTTGAAGTGAGAAGGAAACTCTTAGAAAGACCAAAAAACCAAGTCCTCAGGGAAGAACCAGGTTCGGGGATGTGCAGTCCAATGGTATCAGTGGCACAGGTGCCCTTTGGATTAATTTCCACTTTGGTGAACAGAGGTGACTTGAGAAACCAGTAAAGGTCAGAGCAGGGGCTGGGAGAAGTTAGTGTAGAATAAAGTCTGAGTTTTACTATTTATTACCTGTCAATTACTGGGGAGAAAAAAATACCAACCACTTTTAATCTAGGGCTCAAAGTTTTATACCTCACATTCTGAAGACTGGAAATCCAAGAGACACATCATGGTCACGATCTTGGTGAGGACCTACTTCTAAGTATGCAGATGGCCACAGAGAGTGAAACAGGGAGAATCTTTTTATAACACCACCAACCATCATGAGACCCCCTCGAGTTGATTAAAAAACATAGCTCTCACTTCAAAGGAAATAAAGAGATAGTTTATTCTTGAGCAAAATATGCGTGACCATTAACCAATACACAGATTTCAGGTGTTCCAAAGGACATGTTCTGTGGATGTATGTGATGGTTTGAAAGAAAATGGCCCCCCAAAGAAGTGGCACTATTAGGAGGTGTTGGAGTGGGTATGGCCTTTGTGTAGGAAATCCTAACTAAGACAGAAGTTGGTACCAGGGACTGGGGTATTGCTGTGATAGGCCTGACCATGTTTTTGTTTGGAGGAATTTGTACTTTGGTACGCTGGGAAAGCAGCAGAATGTTTCAAGCTCTGCTTAATGGGCCATACTAGCAGGAGCATGGTAGACAATGCTGCTTTTGACTGTGGGGATGAGGAGGTTTCACAGAAGACTGTTAGTATATGGCCAAGAGACTGATCTTATGATATTTTGGTGAAGAATGTGGCTGCTTTTGAAATTTCAGAACAGCCTAGTATAGACTCTGTCATGTGGTTATTAGTGTTAACTCTGATGAAGATTCATAATGAAAAGGAGCAAACTGAGCAAATAAACATATAAAATGTACAAACTGAAAAAGGGGGCATTAGGAAGTGGAATAGAGCTAAATTCTATATTCAAGGAGATAAACAGTGGAACCAGCCCAAGAGAAAAAGTGTGTTGCAGTCAACAAAGCTGAAAGGAGTTGGAGATCTGAAGAGCATTTTTTTTTTAATTCAGAAAACTACTTTTTATTATTATTTTTTATTGAGCTATACAGTTTTCTCCATTCCCCTTCCTTCCTCCCCTCCCCTTCCACCCTCCTGCCTGCCCCTTATACTTCCAATTTATTCAGGAGATCTTGTCTTTTTCCCCTTCCTAGGCT